TTCCGAGAAAATCAGCGTTTTACGTTAGTTGGATCGCCCTGTATAGTTAACTAAATAAATATATAGTTTTAAAGGTCGATAAAGCTCTAGAAAATGCCAAAAAAAGATAAAAATTTAAATATTGTTCAATATTGTAGTAAAAAATGTTTAGAAAAATAAAAACTAAAAAATTACAATTATTTTGAGAGTGAACCAATGCTGGGCTCACCCGATAAAATAATAAATACATTTTCCTACAATATATAGTTATAAGGAATCGGTGTAAAATAATATTTTATAAAATAAAACAATGCGCAATTTTAGAATTTATGAGTTGGAAATTAGTCTTAAAAGATAAGTCTAACATATACGAATACGGCACTCAAAAGAGAAAAAGTAGCACATGTGTTATTTAAAGAACATTATATACTTATTTATATGCTGGCAAATACTCTTAATATAGGTACATATGTATTAAAACGGCTTGTTTATATAGTAACTGTTATTATTGATGTTAATATTACATTTGTTTCACCGCACCCTTTCAGTGTAAAACAACATATTTCTCCAAACGGTTTTTGCTAATTTTTCCTGTTTCAAAGAATTTCTTACAGCTAATACAATATGTTTAAACTGTATTTTACTGTTTTTGTGTTGATGGTCGTTGTGTTGATTGGAACAACGTGCCAGTCAGGACTAGATAAAGTCATTTGGAATTTGACGATGGACAGCCGCCATTTGCACTGCAGTGCACATATGATTTCCTACCCGGGTTTTAGCATGGTGTTGCCCGAAGTCAAAAACCTTGACAGAACTTCACTTATTGAATTTGGAAAACCAAATTTGCCGATCCTGCAGGTCGACACACAGGTAATAAACTTCTCATAGAAATTTAAATATTTTGTGCTTAAAAGTTTCTCCGAAATCTATTAAAACATAAAATACCTCTCTCAAAAAGTTTTATAAGGAAGAACAAGTCATTTGGAATTTGACGATGGACAGCCGCCATTTACACTGCAGTGCACTTATGATTTCCTACCCGGGTTTTGGCATGGTGTTGCCCGAAGTCAAAAACCTTGACAGAACTTCACTTATTGAATTTGGAAAACCAAATTTGCCGATCCTGCAGGTCGACACACGGGTAATAAACTTCTCATAGAAATTTAAATATTTTGTGCTTAAAAGTTTCTCCGAAATCTATTAAAATATAAAATACCTCTCTCAAAAAGTTATATAAGGAAGAACAAGTCATTTGGAATTTGACGATGGACAGCCGCCATTTACACTGCAGTGCACATATGATTTCCTACCCGGGTTTTGGCATGGTGTTGCCCGAAGTCAAAAACCTTGACAGAACTTCACTTATTGAATTTGGAAAACCAAATTTGCCGATCCTGCAGGTCGACACACAGGTAATAAACTTCTCATAGAAATTTACATATTATTTTGTTTTTAACAGTTATATACCTACGCCACCGACCAGAACTTGTAAGTTTAAAATTAATTGTTGAATTTTACTCTATCGCTGTATTCTTTAAATCTATTTAACAGGTTGTTGGAACGACCTTTCTGACTGGCATCCGAGAAATGGGCAAAGGCCTATTCGCAAAGGTGTGTTACGGAGTTGTGGTCAGTGCAGTAGCTATTGTGCTGATTTTTGCTAGTATTGTCATACTGGTACTCTTACTCACGGCTATTGCACCTTTGATACTTATATTGACTTCTTATGCACTGTTCCTGAAACTACTGACCATCATGGTATTTCTGCCGCTGTTTCTAGTATGGATAATCGTCAGTGTCATTGTAATTTATATCGTTATTCATTTGAAACGTTCACATATCATATAATGTTATCATACATTAACAATTTTCACATAACTTATATTATTTTTGTACAAAATAATTGTATATACTCCAAGTAGCTGTACACCACAGCCATGGTGCGTAACCCGTCTTATACACATATACAACACTTATACAATCATAAAATGATTTTGTATTTCACAAGTTTACTAGTTTGTTTTTTTATGCAAATATATTTTGTAGAAATATCGCATGTTATCGGATCTTTTTTATTAATACCGTTATACAACAGAACATATGTAGTGAAGCTATTTTTAGATACCGTCGACAATTACTTTTAACTCAATACTTTTACTGACATTTGAAAAAAACGCTTTTACATTTGTCCCGCTTAACCCTACCTATACCACGTGGTGGCGGTTAGGTTAGTAGTAAAGATTTGAATAGAAAACAACTCTATGCAAACGAAACTCGATTTGTTACAACAACTTTTTAAATCGTTGTTTACCCAAAGTACTCGCTTTTGCAGTGTGGGTCACAATATTCTTTCAGCTGTGCGGTAGTACGCGACGGCCCATGATCTTAAGATTGTCCTAAGATACGTCATAGTAATATTATTATAAGGAAATATTGTTTAGAGGATTATACGCTATCATCGCCGACACGACGACGTCGTGGTGTTTTTTTATGTGCTGATCGATTTTTTAAAAACAAATCGTTGTATACGTCAACTCGTCACCGGTCTTGTGCAAGTACTTATATACTTGGAACTATATACAGAGGTCTACATATAAGTCTGCGCGGTGTCTGGCTGACAAAATATATTATGTGTTATTGGATCACGTGTGCCGCGGTGTGCTCACCCGCCGTCAATCGTCGCTCAAGTCAATTATTTTTCAAGACGGTATACTTACAAGTCAATCCGTCAAACCGGAGGTCTCCGGTTTCGGTAAACGTTACTATATTGCCAACACGTGCTGTGATTCACAACCGCCTTGGGTAAACCGAAAAGTAGTGAGACCGGTGCCCTTTGGTCGTTTTAGTCGGTGCTGTAGTTTATTGAGGTACTGGAGTTTATTTTTTTTAATTTAACTCAATTATTCCAAAATTAGTTGGCGACAGAAAATTTTTTTATCATTTTTCCCCTCAAATCGTCTACATAATAAGTAGTGTGACCGGTCGGAGTCCTATTTTGGTTTTGGCGCCCAATTTCCAAAATCAAACGCAATAATCATAATAATTATCACTGTAGTGCACCGGTCGGATGACCGCGTACAAAACACCGTAAACGACCAACATTTGTAACGGAAAACTAAGAGTAGGTTTCAATAAGTAGAACACTTTTTAGTTAATTGTAATATATAAAACCATCAAGCTTAGCGGGCCTTTTAAGGCCCAATGCTGCCATCAAGATGGTTTCTTGACGAATTCGCTTCCGGGACGGGTCGTCAATCCGTCACCGGAGGAGGGGGATGGCGGTTCCTTTTTACCGGACGATTGCTCGCCCAGCAAACGGAGTGCCTGTGACCGGGTGTCAAACCGGCGACAGTAAGCGCTAACACACTGCCACCTTACCCACTCGGCCACTCCTCCTCTAATTGTAATATACCGGGTGATTGGTTAACTATGGACTACTCAATATCTTAGAAGATATTAGACTTTTTTAATTTTTTTTTTTTGTACTATTATAGTTATTAGGTGGGACAAATTTAATGTATTTTTCAAAATTTTAACACCATCCCTTATGCGTTAAAACCATATCAACTTTAGATTTTTAAATGGTAACCCCCAATTTTTTTTTGATGATCGTGTTTATTTTTTTTTAATTTAATTTTAGGCGTAAAAACTAGCTAAATCAGACAAGTACTTTTAAAGTTATAGCTTAGTACTACAATATTATAATATTAGCTTATATGAGATGCTTTTATAAGTTTTACAGCTAAAGAAAAAAATCGTTTATCGCCGGATCTCACGTTTCACAAAATAAGATTGATTAACGATACGGTTGTAGATTAAAGTTAATAGTTGACGGTCGTCGGTCACAATGAAAACGAACTAATAATAAATCTATAACAATATTATATGGGTAATGTCTTCTTATCTGTTTTTTCTGTAGTGTTCCTAGCGGTGCGGTGTACCTGTACGTATTGAATATTAGGCATTAGCTGCTGTTAACAAACAATATTATAAGCCCTAGTAAATAGTTTTTTTTCAATTTCAACCATAGGTTACCGTGGTCTAATCACGGTCTTATATAGAGTATATACCGTGGTTCTACCAAAACGATTCGTTACTAGCGTAGATTAATATCAACACAGAACAAATTATTATAAAAATACGACTACTTGAAAACTAATCAAAAAGTTCATTATTCTAATTTTTCAATTATTATGGTTATTTAGCGTCTTGGTTTTTACTTTAAATATTTAGCGTCTTGGTCTTAATAAGTATTACTTGTACTGGTGTCTTAACTAGTCAAATTATTAATTCTGTTAGTGAAAATATTTTTAAAAAAACTAATAAATAACATTTAATTTTTTGTTTTTTTAGTATAATATTGTATTACATACAGTTAATAGATAATATGTACAGAATATATACAGAAATAAACAAAAACTAAATTTAATATGTACAGAAACTATTTTAGCATTTTTGTTCGAACTGGTTTATGATAGGTACATAAGATGTCAAACAACATCTTTATAAGGCATCTATTGTGCTTATTAAAATGTTTAGATAACAAAGGATTCCATGATAAATACGTTCATCCAATACTTGTGCACTAAAATAAATTTTCATTTTTATAATTTAAAGTTGTAACCCGTCAATTTTAACTATTTCTAGTTCAGTATTTTTAATTATTAAAAGCTGTATTTATTTATTAACTCTTTATTATATTACCACCTTAAGCCTATACTGTATATATTTCATAGTATTGACTATTCTTACTTGTCTTAATGTGTTCATATGAACAGTAAAAGTATGTTTCTTATTTAATAAATGGTTGTTTTTCTCGTTGTACGAGGTATAACCAAAAATTTAGAGTGAATGATAAAGTACAATTTTGTTTGTTTTTGTACGGCTTTTTTAACAGTCATAAGCATAAAATTCAATAATAATATTACTAACAAACATTTAAATACTATATTATGTTATGTTTATTATGATAATAGTAAAATAAAAAAACAAGTAACAAGATAAATAATACGCTTATAAGATACGAATAAACATTTTTATTTGCTAAATCATATTAAAAAACTAAGACTAAATAAAATTAACATATCTATAATTAACTTGTAAATAATAGAGGTACAACATATTGCTGTATATAGTGATGTAGTTATAGGAAGTTACCTAGGGCGGTAAAGTTTGTTTGATGATTTCCCACTAGAAGAAATCCATCTCCATTTACATATTTAAGTTAAAAAATATTTATAAGTATATTCATTCAATTTACTTTTTTACACTTAATCCAATAGTTAACATTTTTTTTTCTTTCTATTTTGTGTTTTATAATTTTATTTACTTTATTACTTATAAAAACTTAATCGTAAACCACTAGAAAATTGTCAATAAATTCTGTAATAGCTAATGCCAAAACTATGCCATCATGAAAATAATTTCAAGATTTGGATTAAGACAATAACATATTTTAGAAATATTAACATTCTCAGCAGCATTTTAGATTAAATTAATATTAAATAAAGAATTCATCATTAATAATTAATAAATAATGTTTAATAATTATAAATATGTTAAGTATATGTGTGTTTAAATACTTAGAGTTTAAAAACTTTATGTCACTTTTAAAATGATAAAGTACTTTTAAATTATTTTATTGAATTACATTTTTAGCTGAATAAATAAATATATATAGTTGTCTAATATTTGATTTGAACTTGTGAATCCATCTTATTCTTCTTACTGACTTAATGGAAAACCGTTATCTGCAATAGTGTGCCACAGTAACTAAAAAAAAAAATAATAATAATAATAAATTGTTAGTGATGAATTCATAGAAATTAACTAAATTATTGCAAGCTGATGATCTTATATATTTTACCTTAAAATAAAACACCTATAAATTTACTGAAAATTGAATACCACAACATTCGACAATGTATTGATGGAATTAGTTTAGACTGATTGACTACAATAATATAATACACCAAATTTGACGTTGGTAGAAGTGTAGTTGTAGACAATAACAAATATCAATTTAAGTTGAGATAGTCCATATTAATATTGAACATACTGAAACATATAATTAAAATAAATTAAATAAGTTTCTTAGATACTTAAATAATCATATGGTTAAGCAACAAATATCAGTATACACATATATTTTTTATAATTATACAAGTATGATAATTTTTAAGTTAAACGTTAAGTTTTAGGTAACGCATTATAATTAAACATATTAAGTATGATAAACATAAGTAATCCAAAAAATGTATTATGTAAAAACATTTTATATGTTCATGAATAATAAAAAAAGATTAATTATATTTTTCTAATAAAAAAATGTACTTATACAATACACCTATATCAATAAATACATTATCTTACCTATTATTGATTCAGTAAACGATGATTGAAGATTCAATTTTTTCATAAAAAATTTTATATTTTTTCTTTGAATTCAGATACCAATATGTTAAAACACAAAACTACACATTTATAAGTTTCTCAGAACAAAGACATAATACTGAAAAAATAAAAGTTTTAATTAAAATATCATCAAGCATAATTCAAAATATAATAATATTTATTTTAAATAACATATTATTATTATAAGTACCTTTAATTTTGATATTTGATGTGCATACATTTTATAAGTAAGGTTTTAGGTTTTATAGACTTGTCACTTGAGCAAAACTCCATCTTGGTATTCACATTGATTATGGATATTTAATATCAATGTTTTTATTTAAAACACAATAAATGTTGACAAGTTCATAGATCTAGACTCTAGTAAGTTATGATACTATATTATTATAATATACTATGAGATTAAGACGTACAAATCGCATGAATAAACAAAATGTGTCAAATTAACCAAAACAAATAATTGCTAAATGCTGGAAAAATATACACAAGATATTGATAACAAATAAAACTTACCTACTATTTTACAAAATAAATGTAAAAGTGTGTAGTGGTGGTATATTTGTCAGTCGATATAGCGGTTATCATTATTATTTACTATCGGTGAATTATTTACCTAAAGTAAATAGTGTTTGGTACGGTTATGCTTTTTAAACGCTACAATAGCTATTGTTAAAGTTAATTGTCAATAAATAATAACAGAGAGCAGTCACATAATATGTTAGCGTCTCCAAGATATTTAATTTATTTTTTACACTCCCTTTAATTTTAAAACTGTGTAGCTCGTTAACTACTCAATCGATTTAGCTAGTTTTTACGCCTAAAATTAAATTTAAAAAAAATAAACACGATCATCAAAAAAAAATTGGGGGTTACCATTTAAAAATCTAAAGTTGATATGGTTTTAACGCATAAGGGATGGTGTTAAAATTTTGAAAAATACATTAAATTTGTCCCACCTAATAACTATAATAGTACAAAAAAAAAATAATTAAAAAAGTCTAATATCTTCTAAGATATTGAGTGGTCCATAGTTAACCAATCACCCGGTATATATATATATATATAGTTTTTGTGTGTATCTGAATAATGTTTAAAAACAATGATTATATTTAATTATATCATTTTTATGAATTAAAGCGAAACAGTATCAGGGTAAAATCTCTTTTAAGTTTTCATTCATTCTTCCTTTCCTTCCTTATTAATAAGTTGCAACAAAACTGAAAACACAAAAACTTCAGACGCGTATAAGTTTTTAAAATCAATTTCATATTTATATTCGATCCAAAGTATGCGTTAAAAAATCTTTTAAAATATGTACATACTCGTAGTTTCAAATTAAAATAGTAGCGCTCTATAGTTTTAATAAAAATGTAATTACTTCTAAATTTGTATGGAATATATAAAAATTGAAGGGCCAGAAACATTTTGTTTATTTCTATTGTTTAAATGAAATTTTAGGCCTTAAGGTCTGAAAAATATACCGAAGGTAATTCTAAAAGGGGACTACGACGTCTTATACAATTTTAGATTGCTCTGTATGTGAGTACATTTCATTAACTTTTAAATAGAGAAGAATATACTACAAATGTTGAGTGGTCCATAACAAGTTTTGGATAACTAATTTTGATGTTCTTGAGGTATTATTATTTTTATCTGCGCGCACTTTCCCCCCGTTTTAACTTTTAAACTCTTAAAAGTTAAAAAATAGTTGTTCAAAACTGGTTATAGACCAGACAAATTTTCAGTACATTATCCTCCATTTAAAAAGTAAATAAGGTATATACGTTACTATTTCAGTTTCAATAGTTGCTATCAAAAAAACTAATTTTGGAGGAGAATAAAAACATGAAAATTTGTGAGAAATTGAGATAATTTTACATAAAAACACTATGAAAAAAAATAATTTTAATTCAACCCAGTGAGTGGCACACGATAAAAAAATCACCGTTCCTACTATGCCTCGACCCCACTGTACTCATTTAGAGTTTATAATGTCTGTTACGTCCTAAGTATCTCACAGATATATCGTAGACCACAATGTGGAAATCACAATTACGAAAAAAAAAAAATAATAATAATATAGCGTAACAATAATACAACGGAATTAACCTCTGTCATAATATCCACTATCGGTTTGATTTTTTCTAATTTAATTTGCACGTTACCTGAAAATATTTATTACAATTGTAGAGTGAAATTAATACAAAATACAGGGTGATCAACTTATCGTGAACCACTGAATATCATACTGGGTTTAGGTAATAATTCAATTTTTTTTTCCATACAATTTGTATACAACGTGAACTCAATTATTCACAATTTATTTTTGTTTTTACCCTCCTCCCAACTTAGTTTTTTAGATAGCAACTTTTGAAACTTAAATGGTAACGCATAGAGTTTAAATGTTAGGATGGGTGGGGGGAAGTGCGAATGGGAAATTCGCGCAGATAAAAACAATACTGCACTCCACATTTCCTCCTGTACTGAACTTGAAACTTCAATAACTTCAAAAATAGTAACACAAAACTGTTAATCGACCAGACAAAAATTCTAGTACATTATTATCAAGTAAAAAAAATAATGAAATGTATGCGTTACCATTTAAGTTTCAAAAGTTGTAATCGAAAAAACTAAGTTGGGAGGAGGGTGAAACCAAAAAAAAATTGTGAACAATTAAGATCACATCGTATAAAAATATTATGTAGAGAAAAAATGTAATTACTTATTAAAACCAGTGAGATATTGAGTGGTTCACGATAAGTTGGTCATCCTGTATATATGTTTATAATATATATATATATATATTTTTTTTTTTTCTGAAATATATTACCGTCTCTATTCAATAAAGATATATATCTTTTTGCTTGGCGAATAGTAACGAGTCCTATTGACTCTTTGAATAACATTTGCTGTAGTTCCATTGCGGAGATCAAACCATCATTGTTTTGGTCGTACATATGAAATTTCTCATGCCATCCATCGTTCACATCCTCGCTCGGAATCACAACCTAAGTGTATTATATGAGAATACATTTTGTGGTAAACAACACGACCAATTTGTGTAGAACAAACAGTGCAAAGACATTTTGTATACATTTCGTCGATATCATTGCGAGACTATCATTTTGTCTAAATATACCATTTATAACTAGTAAAAAACTCTTAAAAAAAAAAGAAGGAAAAAATAAATATTTCCACGATGGTTTATTTCTGTGCTGCTAATTGTTTGGTATTATTAGTAAAAATTCAATTACATTGTACCCGTATACTATTATCTTCTACTATCAATGTTTTGTTGTAAGAAAAAATATTTTTTTGACCCCGTTTACTACAAGTTGTTTCATATTTAAAAGCTTTAGATAATATATATTATTTACGTACCTCCGTTGAATTGGTCTCGATTGACGCATCATTTTCCCCAATAAAACATGCAAAACACAAAAGTACTGTAAAACTACTTAAAAACATACTGCAATTAAAAATATGTACGTGGAATAAATTATTATGTACGTGGTGTGCTTGGAAGTAAAACTGTTTCTAACAATTTTGCGTTATGTTTTTCGCGTTGAGTACTTGCAGTATTTCTAACATGTTTTTTTAGTAAAAACAACAACTGCGAAAAACAAACATAAGCCATATTTCAATACCTACTATAGTTTTCAGATGTTCGGGCGATTGTTAATATCAATATACAGATGTATTTCATGGGTAATTTCCTAACGGGGTTAGTATTGTTCATATTGATATGACTCACCGCATCTTCAAGAGATTAAAATAGAGAGATATAGATATCCAGAGGGCGGGAGGATGGGTGGGATTCCCCCTCCCCTATCCCTCCTCTCCTGGCCATGAGAAAAATACAAATTCAATTTATAGTAGACTTATAATGAAACTACACAGAAATAATGGAGTTTTTAACAAATAATAATTGTATCAATAACCGAATTTTTTTTAACCCACCAACAGTGAAGAATGTTAAGAAAATTGGATTTTTTTTATAACCCCTATAACAATAAAATCACTTTATTTTTACCTCCAGAAATATAAGTGCTTTGACATCGCCCAAAAAGAGTTATCATGTTTTTTTTTTTTTATTCAACTTTTATAGTTTTGTGACTGAGGTCTGACTGAAATATGACTGAAGATAGATCTTCAGGTGGGGTTATAAAATCCAAAGAGAAAAGGACACAAATTACCCTTTGACAGGGGTAAATTTTTAGGTTGTTTAGTTAGAGTAGATCATCAAAAGTAAATACAATTTTTTGCACATTACTGTCTTCTAAGGCGTTTTTTTTTATATAGAGTAAATTCGTTATTTTTAGTTGTAACAATTATTAATCTAGACCAGTCACTTCCCCGAACGAAGGATATTACAACGTTGTAGATATAATTTTATATACTGAATTATTATCGCATCCAATTGTTAGTATTACGTTTAAGCCTCGCTTTATTTGGGTTATAAAACTACAGAGTGAATAAAATCAAGCATTTTTAGCATAACTGGTAAGTTTACCGGTGTATTTATTTCGAAGAAACCTAATATAAACAATAAACTGTACAAAGCAATAGTATTATGGAAATCAATTTATTCTATAAAATGTTTGGTTTTCAAAAGCGATAATATCAAAGTACATTACATACAGTACATCGTATATACATACGATGGTCGTGTAAAGAAGAAGTAGGTAATTTTTTTGTATTTGTCAAAACGGCAAAACAATTATTTTTTTACGATTGACAGTCATGACTATTATAAGTACACATTAATGTATATTGAACAAATAGCATATATATATATATATGATAGAAAGTTTTACACTAAAATCGCTATAACGTGAGCCTTTACAAAATAATAAGAACCATTAAAGTTCTAAATTCCTACTAAACAACAAGTCTCTCTTTAAAAAAAAAAATCATCATGTATTTCAAATATAGTAATATCTTTTTATTCTTGTTTTGTTTTTTACAAGTAGCAAACGCAGCAAGATTTACTGATGAGGTAATTAAATAATCTCACACCTAAAAATGTATGATTAATTTAAATAATTATAATAATCACTAAATCCTTTAAAAACCTAGTGAATAATATAGTAGAAAAAAGTAGTATTTCTGTAATAATAGTGTTCAAATTGTATATAAACAACAAAAATGTAATGATTTTAGCAACTGCGAGAAATTTATGATGGCACCAATGAGCTTAGTTTAAGACGGTTCCAAGCACTAGAATTCGATGTTCCTGAACATTTTAAAAAGGGAAGAGTTAACAAGTTTGAAGTAAGAACCTACTTATATGAAGACGAAAAATATGAAAAATATCAACTAACAGTTAAAAGCATGCTGACGATAACAGAAGAATTGCCGGGAGTACGTTAAATAATGATTCAGTAATAGATATTGTAAAATATGTATGTAAAATGTTAATAACTAATAATTATTACTTTGATGTTGTACCTAAATAATTATCGATAGGTAGTGTGTTATCTGAGGGGTGCTTTAATATTAAACAGAATTCGTCTGTAAAAATAGTTGGGTGAAACAAGTTAGATATAACAATGTAAACCCAATCGTATCTTTCTGTTCTACCAAATATATTATAAAACAATTTTATAACAATTTGACTCATTGTAATTGATATTAGAATATTAATTTTATGACATTCTACAAGATTTTTTTTCGACACCGTTTTAGATTATTTGAAAATTGAAAGATTGAACAAAAAAATTATTGTTTTCTTATTGCAACCAGTCAACTCGTTACAACATAATAATATAGTTTGGTAAATTTCTATATGAATAATTTTGTTATGATTTTTAGTTGATGAAGATATCTTATTCGAGGAATTTAAAGATGTTATGAATAGAGTATGTGAGTAGTAGTATTCAGTAATATTTTCACCCTTTTACCAATAAATTTTGCGTTTCTTTGTAACATATTTTAGTTTTAGTTGTTTTTTTTTTAATATGATTAAAAAAAAATACAAATTGTCAATATCTTATTATTCTTGTTTTGTTTTTTTCAAGTAACAAACGCAGCAAGATTTACTAATCAGGTAATTAAATAATCTCATACCTTAATGTATGATTAATTAAAATAATAATAATAACAATAACTAAATACTCTATAAACCTAGTGAATTATATACTAGAAAAAATTATTATTTCTGTAATAATAGTGTTCAAAATGTATATTAACAACAAAAATTTAATGAATTTTAGCAATTGCATGACATTTATTATGGCGCCAAAGCGCTTAGTTTAAGACAGTTCCATCTGCTATATTATCTTGATGTCTCCTGACCATTTTACGGGAAAAGTTAACAGGTTTGAAGTTAGATTTTACTTATGTCAAGACGAAAAATATAAAAATTATCAACTAACACCTGAAAGCATGGAGACGATAACAGAAGAATTGCCGCCGAGTACGTTAAATAATGATTGAGTAATAGATATTGTAAAATATATATGTGAAATGTTAATAACTAATAATTACTTTGATGTTGTACAAAAATTATTATCGATAGGTACTAGGTAGTGTGTTATCTGAGGGAGACTTATAATATTATTCAGAAGTCGTCTGTAAAAATAGTTGGGAGAAACAAGTTAGATATAACAATGTAAACCCAATCGTATCTTCCTGTTCTACCAGATATGTTATAAAACAATTTTATAACAATTTGACTCATTGTAATTAATATTGGATTATTAATTTTATGTAATTCCCCGTGACATTTTTTTTAGACACGATTTTAGATTACCTAAAAACTAAAGAAGTTAACAAACAAAATTATGTTTCTTGATGACTTTTAATTATACCCGTTATGGCCAATTATTGTACATAAAAACGAAATAATAATAATAGCAATTGCAACCCGTCAACAATAATATAGTTTGGTAAATTTTGATATAAATAATTTTGTTATGATTTCTAGTTGGTGAAGATATGACATTCGACGAGTTTGAAGCTACTATGAATAGAGTGGATTTATAAATTCGCCGCCTCTGAGCAAGTAATATTTTTCACCCTTTTAATAATACATTTTGAGTTTCTTTATAACATATTTTAGCTGTATTTGTTTTTTTTAATACGATAAATAGAAATAAAGATTTCCACATATTTTAGGCTTGTTTGAGTTAATTATTAGTTCAACAAATAGTAAATATAAAAAGCCAGTACAGCGGGATCGGACATAATGGAGACGGAGCATATTGTTATGATATGGGAGGTCACAGGTCTTAAGGAATTAATATAACCGTAAATAAAAAAATCACTTTTTATTTCTACCCCAGAAACAGAAATATAGATACTGTTTTCACCCTTTCTGGTAGTAAACGGCTTTTGATTATTTATTGGTTTGTCAATGTTTCCCACAGGGTTGTATATATAATTTCATATAATGTATTATTATCGCATTGCAAATTAATTATTATATCAATATTTCAGGGCTACAAATTTACTACAACATCTACCGTTGTTCAGTGAATTCAAAAAGAAAAACTAAAGTATTTAATTTGTCTCTTAAAAAAAAGAAAAATCACTTTACTATGTTGATATCTTATTTTTTAGTTTTTATGTATTTATTCTTAACATTTTAATGGGTGTGTGGGTTATTTTTGTTTTAATCGGTTGCTTTATTACTTGTGTAATTTATAAATATTATATTCAAATCATTAAAACTTTATAAAAATGGTAAATAACTCGTTTTCTGACGATGAAAAATATAAATTAACCTTAGCGGACTTGGCTTAGCTTAATAATAGCAAATAATACACATAAGCTTCACGAGGACCTGAGAAAGGTATTAAAAGCCAAAAAAGTGAATTCCTTCAATATTTAAAAGCTGAAAATTAGACAGAAGATAGAGGTCAATTTTATATCAATAACATATTGTATAAAATAAAGAATCCATACTGGAAGCGTTCCACAGTCATATTTAATTTAATTAAAAAGTGTTTCATTTTTTATAATATTGATTGGGTCATAATTAATCAGTCACCCTGTATACATAGGTACACTATTAAATCAGTATAATCTGACAGCGGCTTATTTAATTAATAAATCACTTATACTGTTGCTATGAAGAAAATTAGTTTTAATAAATTGTTATAATGGTTAATGTGCATTATTTCCCAAGAAAACGTGCGGTTAATACTTTAAATGGAAGTAAGATGAAATATGGTGAACATCATGGATGTTTTGCAAATAACATAATATTTGAAGTATTTTTCTGTAAAATATTTTTTTACATAGGTTTACTATCTACTATATTTTATTTTCACTGTTGGTGTTAACACATTTCGTCGTCTAACCTTGGCTTGTTTAAATATACACAAAACACATGTGATATGCTACCGTAATTTGACTTTTGCATCTCGATGTAACAAAAAAAAAAAACCCAATTAGTTTTCAAGAATATTATGCCATACTCTGATCTTTTATTTGTTAAATAAAAATAAACATTAGAGCCAGTAAATGTTGAAACTCTAATTTAAAGTCTATCTGACTCAATACCAAGTAGATACATTTTGTGAATTATAGAGTTGCAACTCAAAAGAATTGGTCCAGTATTGAAAAAGTTACAATGTTTACAGATACAAAAAAAAGCTCACATCATTGCAAAATCCAATAGCTTCGCTGCTCCATATCGAAGTTATAAAATAGACCTATCAATTTTGAAAACCCCTAAAAAAGTAGCAGTCTATACAGACAAAGAAAAAACCTACACCATAATGCAAATATATTTCAGATACCAGCTGTTGACTTTTGATTCACCCTTACTCATTGCGACCTACATACCTACATACCGTAACGTCGTAATTCCCCCCTTTAACTTGGTTTTTCCCTAATAAAACAAAACTATACTACAGATTTTTAAGTGAATTTTATGTGCCCCATTCTAGAAAAAACTTATGGTATACTAAGTAAACACAACTATTTTTTGTTTTATAAGTAAAAACTTTACTA